CACTATAATTGATTTTTGGATATTAGCATTTGTCATCACATACAGCATACAAACGAGACTAAGAAGATTCAAAAATGACTTCTAGCAATTTGGAATAATTTAATAATTTAACATCTGGTTAAGAGATTCATTATTGGGTTAGTGCGCATGCTATAGAACGCATTTATAATTATTTAACTCTCTTTAAGAAATCGCAACTGAATACTTGTTTCTTGTAACCACAGGGTGGCCATTCACATCTTGATTCGTCGACAGCTGTGAGTCCAGTAGATGAACTTGCTGACCATAGTGAAAGCTCCCTAAATCAGTCTTTTAGCAGTGAAATTACAAAAAGTACCACGAAAAGTAACACTCTTATTGTAATGATATTAGTTGGAGATGTTATTCATTGTTTCAACGATGGTATGGCTATCGGTGGAGCTTTCTCTAAGTCTGAATCTGATGGATTAAGTACATCTTTAGCAGTGCTTTTCCACGAGGTGCCACATGTTGTAGGTATGATATGGTATACGTTACACCATTCTTGTCAGATCTATGGAGCTATTACGTCATGTACTGTATACTCAATGCATTTGTAGGATATGTTTGGAACAGAACATATGGCGGATTTCTTTTGTTTTCTCTAGAAACTGATCCCATAATGCATTGGAAAGAAAGTGTTGACGGAAAAGGTTCAGAAGTTTATCCCTTGAATGGATCATTGTTAATYTAGTAGAGTAGCAGCATGATTAGGCTCTTTTTCAATATGATCGCTTTTGTTGGTAACTGAATGCTAGATATCTAGAGCCACGTTGTTCAAAGCCTGATTAGCGTTAATTCAGGATTGCTTGCATAAATTTTTTAAGAGTTAATTAGAGAAGGTGGGTAGTGTGTTGTAAAGACATGAATGACCTTGTAACTCAGCTGGTAGAGCATCGGTAGTACAAATCCGAGGGTCGTGGGTTCGAATCCCAGCRAATTCATTCCCARGGGTCTTTCTCCCGGAATAACCTCCTTGCTAGCACTATAGCTTTCCTTTATTTCTATATCAGTGTGTTTCAAAACTTGTCTCATAACAGTGGTCAGAGTTTTACGAGAAAACCTCAGCTTCATTGGAACAGCGGTTTCGAAAGATTACAAATGCGCATATCAGGATATGTCTTTCTTGACATATTAAGCTGGAATATCGAAAAAAATTTCACACAGAAAAAGAAATTCCGCAGTATTCTTCAGTTTCCTATGATTATCAATATATAATGTCAGCACGTAAGCACTGAGATATGCCCTTAAAGTGTACTTTTAATCATTTTAGTATCTGTTTTCTGCAGGTAATTTTGCAATTCTTGTATCAAGTAAACTGACTATCAAAAGAAGTCTTGTGTATCAGGCCTTAGCATTGGCTGTCATGTATGTAGGGGTTGTAATTGGAGCTTTACTGGGAACTGCTTTAGATCTTACAGACTGGATCTTCGCAGTGACTGCTGGAATGTTTCTGTTTGTTGCACTTGCTGAAATGGTATGATATACTACCAGATATTGCAATACAATTTACCACTACGGGATTC